CTATTCAACGAAAGGAGACTGCGACCATACAAAAGGCCACACCATCTTGGTCTTTATACCTTCGATTAAACAACCTCTATACTTTATTATAGTTTGCATTAATGAAATTTTTAAAAACTCGAGCAACAGTTTGAAATTGATAAGAAATTCACTCACGTTTTCTTTTCTATTTCAATGTATTTTTCTCATTCAGTTTTATTTTCTTTATTCATTTCATTTTGTCACAGATATCCCTTTTGTTTGGTTTTACCCACTAAATTTTCCACTTGACCATTGACGAGGCACTCTGTTTTTGGGTTTTAATTTTTTTAATTATTATTCTATTGATTTCCTAGATTATTTCAAACGTTTCCAAACTTATTTTGACTAACTATGGGAAATTTGGATGTTACTTTCTATCTTTTATCTTAACAATGTCAAGTCGACATAATGCTTTTGTCTTAATTATTATGTCTACATTATACTTCTTTTACCTTTGGATGACATATAAGTGGAAAATCCCTAGATAAAAGCAATTCTTAACTTAGCCTGGTCTAGTCGGATACTGCTTTACTTGTAAAATATATTTTTACTTATGATGACTGTTTATTCATTAACTTTTCCTGACATTTAATATAATTAAAAAAAATTTTATTGTATGAATATAAATTGTTTTCTAATTCCTTTTTAAAATGCTATCTTAAATCCTTTTATTACAGGTTACTGTTAAGACACTATTTTCATTCTCGCTTAACCACTTCGCGCTTACTCTTGATCCAAGTCCATATCCTGCCTCTGTAGTCAACTTGGCCCTACCTCCTGATTCTGCTAGTAAGGCCTTTAGAAGTTTCAGCCTTACCGACGGTATCGGATCCTCCACTTCCACACACCTTGGCTTAGCTGCCAGCGGCTTTCAGATCACTTTCAACCTGTCCGAGGCTAGCTTTGTTGACGCACACTTTGTCTATATCACTCGGCTTAGATTTGCGCTGAGCCATTCTTCGGCGTCTGAACTTGATACGTCTCTCGTTTCATGGTCTTTTGTCGCCACCAGACAGAAAACTTCTTTCTCCTTATTTAGCCTAGACAAAACAACTGGTAAATGCTTTTTCTATACTTTATTAATCGAGATCATTTCGTATTGTTTTAATGATTTTTCATTTTATGTATACTCGCCTATACCTGCTCCGTTATATCTCTGCAATTTTTGATATTTTACTTACTCATGTAACCATTTTAGTTATATTAATTTTCCCAACCATTTATTCACTCAGATACATATGAGGATTGACCAATTCACTTAAGTATTATTAACCTGTTCTACATTCATCTGTTATCCTGGTTATGCTTAATTCTACGCGTTTTCCAGTATTCTAGTCTTCTTTTCTACACTCTTATTTTACCATTTACGACTTCAATGCTTGTTGATATCTCTTGTTAACCATTTTCTTGACCTCTTACTTTTTGAGTAGTAAATTTAATTGATTATGTGACTGAACTAGGCAGTGATAAATTCTTTCTGCTAGAGCATTTATGAATTTGTCATACTTGCACATCAAGACACAAAGATGAAATAATTTTTTCCTTTATTTATGACACAATAAGTTGCAAAATATGTCTTTCAATTAACTTTTAGGTAGTTTTAGTTTGAGGATCGTCTTTATCAGTATTTCTCTACATGTTAAGCATGAGTACATTATTTCCTTTTTAGATCGATATTCTAATATTGCTTGATTCGTTGAGGCCACTTTCATTGTCATAGTAATTCCACTAATAATGCCACATACTTCGATTTTAATTAAACTATTCTAATTACTTTTACAAAACTTCAACCTACTTGCCAAAATTTTCTTGAGTCTAGTCGTACCTACATTTTACACATATAACTTTATGAATATATACACTACATAAATTCGTTTATCGTATTACCGGCTTTTCACCTCAGAGAGAATTTACTTTTATATGACTTTATTCTATCTATATCTATTCACACATTCAAAAACATTTCCTTATACTCTTCATGTGAACGTCACACTTCCAGCCTACGTATTTGTTTACTTCTTAGCCAACGTCGGGTTATTAAATGAACCACAAGCCAAACCTTCAAAGACTTAGTTATTGTCGCCAACTTAGATGAGGAATTGGCTTTTTTCAACGTTCTTTTTTCCATTTTTATGCTTAGCTATGTCTTTGGTATTCAATATTCACTTTATATTAGGGACCATTAGAATAATTAAATCTGTGTTATGGTACTGTTTAGGGAAAAAATTTTTATTGAAAATTACTACCAAATTCTTCTAAGTGAATTAGTTTTTAATTTTATTTTTATTTCATAATTAAAAACCAGCTTGCTTAGAATTATATATATAATATTGCCGACCTATTTCGTTTAAGGTGATTAAGTTAGTCGAATTTTCCCACAATGCTATTCATTGAATTTTACATAGCCTTGCTTTCCAAATAGGTCTTATCATCCAGGGTCGACTGCAGTTTCGACCTCGTCTAGGCCTTATCAACACTCCAGCGGGACTTGAATTATGACATTGCAGCGTATAATCTCTTCACGTTAACTACTACTTCACATTGCCACGAGTGCCATTGGTCCATAGGGCAGATATGAATTTGAAGGAAGACCAGGCACTTTCCTATAA